CGAATTAGCTTTCTTCTTCACCCCGCATGCAGGCAGCGGCGGCGGGCTCGCTCGTCGTCGCCGAGAGTTGGGGGCCATGGCCTCCGGGGGCCTCCACGACGGGCGGAGGTCCGCGCGAACTCCATGCCGCAGATGGGGTCGAGAGCCTCCGGGGACCTCCAGGAGCGGAGGCCCGCACGAATTCCACGCCACAGATATGGTCGAGAGCCTCCGGAGGCCTCCAGGGGCGGAGGTCCGCGCGAAATCCACGCCGCAGATGGGGTCGAGAGCCGCGTCAGCTGCGCCTCCAAGAGAGCTGTCTGAGTTCTTGGCTACCTCGGGATGCCTGGGCCACGTCGGATTCGCCTCTGGAACCCTTTCAGGACAGGTGGCCCGATCGGGCCATGCAAAACTTCCCTGCTCGGTCTGCTGGTCTGCTCGGCTGATGCGGCCGAGGGCCGGGCCGGCTGCATCGGCTAGGGGGGCTTGATTGTTGTTTCGGCAAGCTCTTGTCGTCGTCGCACTCGTCGTGTCACCGTCGGCCCTCCTCGCAGCCTGCGCCTTCTTCTTTCGTGATCATCGTCGTCGTCGGCGCTGCTGCTGCGACCCCCCGCCCGCTACCCTCCTGCCCGCGGCTCGCCTCCTCCTCCGCCTCCGCCGCCTCCTCCATTTCATCTCCGTATCCTTTTTGGCTGAGTGTGTGCCGACGCGGGCCGTTGCGGCCCTTCGGAACGACGAACGTAAAAACGCGCGGGCTGTTGCGGCCATTCGACTTGCAGCGGGAGTTGCCATGGCCCCTAAGAAGCAGTCGCAGAAGCGGGAATCCACGGGCAAGGCTGGATCGGCCCCCCTTCCGATGAAGAGGCCAAGGTCAAGGGCTGGATCGGCGCCGTCTACCCCAGGGGGAGGAGATGATGACTTCGACAATGCGCAGCCGGCTGCATCGGCCAATAATTGCGCGGGCCCCGTGCTGGACATCATCACCGAGGCTTTGAACACCATCGAGACGTCGCCAATCTTGGCCGACCTCGAGAAAACAATGCCGCTGACCATCGCCGACGGCGGCCGCCAGGCGCCGTTCACCAAGCAGGACTGCCTTGATGCCCTCAGCCGCGGAAGCAACCACACTTGCGGGAGCAACCTGTTTTGGCAGAACTTCTTCTGGAGCGCCACTTACAAAACCCCTGTGAACATGGGGCAGGTCAAAGAGATCCGCAGATTCCACATGTCCCCGATGAGCCCGCCAGAGGACTTCCCCATGACCACCGTCTTCGCGGTGGACAACCCGGCCATGGACGTCACCATGCACCTTGGCAGTTTGCAGCGCCTCTCGCCAATCGAGCCGCAATAGGCTTTGCTCATGGGCATGGCCGACGCGGTGAAGAAGGAGGCGGAGGACAGCGTCCTGTTAAAGTGGAGGCAGGTCGCGCTGTCGGCGCCAGTGACGTTCGAGGTGCAGGCGGAAGGCGACGCTCGGCATTGGCGCGCCCATAACATTCGGCAGGAGTGGATCGAGACAGGGGATACAGCCCAACTCAGCGCGAGGCAATGAGTGTACGACATCGGCGGTTTTAAGGAGGCGATGGAGAAGGAGATTGGTAAGACGCTGGGTAGCAAGGAGCTCAGCCAGCTCTACGAGAAGCACATGAAGTACGCGAAGTCTACAGTCCACGTGAAACCGACCTTCGTGGATAACGCGATCACCGTCCACAAGCGGCTGTTGTCCCTGGAAGACTCCAACAAGTGCCTTGTCTGGGCGGACGAGAACTTGATGACCGATTCCCCGTGGACGAGCCTCTACGCGACGCAGGCTGTGGTCGAGCGCGCGTCGACTCCCAACAAGATCGATTGGGCGATGATGGGCCTCACGGACCATTACCGCATGGCGCCCAAGGGTTTGTTCTGAACACCCTCGCTGCTCGCGCCAACCCGTCGTCGACGCGTCGTCGGCGGGTCGGCGCGAATCAGCGTCGGGGAGGAGTCAGAACCACCAGGAGTTCATTGACTTAGGCAAGTTCGGCGTCAACAAGCTCAGGGGCTACAGGGAGAGCTACGTCGAGGTCTTGAACTTGAAGCTCGACGTGAAGAACGAGATGCTGTTCAAATGGCTTCCGCGCGTTGGCTTCCCAAGCGATCACGTCGCAACCATGCTGCAGAAGATGGGTACCTTCGCCGCGGTGCGGGCGTGCGTCACTGGCTACCCGGGGGATGCAGTCGATACCACGTGGCAAGCTCTGATGAAGCAGTCGGCTGTTTCGGCTGTCACGCTCATCGAGGAGTTGGTGCACACCATCGAGTTCGACAGGCGCTAGACCAATGCCATCCAGTCGAAGCTCGATGTGGCGGACTTTCTCGCCTACGAGTCGGTCGCCGTGCGTATGAACGAAGTCATCGAAATGGCGAAGAGGGAGAATGGGACTGATGGCGCCGAGGCGGCTGGAGCGGCCGGAGCGGCCGCCTCCTCTGCCGGGGCTGCCGCCGCAGACCCGGGCAGCAACAGCATGACCTCAGCGGGCGACGCGCCCAAGGAGTTGAAGAAGTTCGCCCAGTTGCCAGAGACGGACAAGCAGAATTTGAACCGGGTCATTGACAAGGTCGTTCGGACTTACATTCAGATCGTGCCCGACCAGAAAACGCAGGCTGAGCTGGAGCACGTGCTCCGGGACTCCGCGCTCGCCACCGTCAACGGTGACCCCGCGGGGCTGGTGCTGTACCACTTCGACGCGAAGCAGTTCGGCGAGCCGCAAACCAGGCCTGAGCTGCGCATTGCGCCCCTCAGGGAGAAGCCGCACGAGCGTCTCGCGCGTTCGATGTTGGACGCACGGGCGCCCCAGGGGCAGCCGAGCCATCTCCGCAACGGGCAGGTCGCAGTGATTCTGGACGGCGGGCGGAGGGGCAATGCGTCCAAGCTGCTCGCGCCGTGGAAGGAGAACACCGTCGAGAAGAAGGAGGCTAAGGGGCGCGGCCGCGGCGGCGATGAGGTGATGGAGGCCGACGACGACGATCAGGACGGCGACGACGACAGCGACAACGAGCAGAGGGCCGGCTTCAAAGCTTCGATCATCCAGCTCGCGTACACGGAGGACAGCCTGAAAGCGCGCCGCAACAGGGTGCACGGAGGCACAGGGAGCCCGCACCAGATAGAGTGGGCGCACATGGTGGCACACGCGCGCATTTCGATCCCTGAGCGGCGCCGCAAGTACTTCGAGGGCAGCACGGCAGGGGATCTGATTACTGGCATCGAGGTCCCAGAACTTGGCAAGGAATGGCACGTGCTGTGGAAGGACAAGAAACTTCTGTACGGATGGAAAAATCTGATTGCCGTGGGTGGCAAAACAGAAGGCATTGAGCCGCTCCAGGAGCGGAAGACCGACGAGACCATGATCCCCGTGAATTTCCACGGCGTGCCGATGGTCTACTACAAAGAGCTGATCCACATGTTCTATGTTAAATGCGTGCTGGATCTGACCCCGACCGATGCGAAATTCGCGTGGGCTTGTCTCCAGGAGAGGATCGCATACGTCGGGGTGGCATTCACGAAGGAGCACATGGAGAAGATCTACTCCTACCTGACGGACCTCGTGAAGCAGGCGATGGCGGATGCCGGGTCCAAGCTGTTCAACAAGGACTACGCGAAATCTCTCGGCATGGAGGCGTCCAGCTCCGGCGGCAAAGGCGGAGGTGGCTCCGGCGGCGGCGGAGGTGGTGGCGGCCGTGGTGGTGGAGGCCGCGGCCGTGGCGGCCGTGCCATCGCAGCAATCTTGGCCCACATGGCCACCGCAGCTCACTGACGACAGTGAGCTGCGTTAAGAGATGACTGTTAGTCATCTCCTACCGAAGCCCCCGTCGGCGCGCGGCAGAAGTCTCCTACCGCAGCTCGCTGTCGGCAGTGAGCTGCGGTGGTGCGCCAGAAGACTCCTACCGTAGCTCGCTGTCGGCAGTGAGCTGCGCCGGCGGCGCCACCGCAGCTCGTTGCCGTCGGCGAAACGCCCGACAGGGAGCTCCTACCGCAGCTCGCTGTCGGCAGTGAGCTGCGGTGGTGCGCCAGAAGACTCCCACCGCAGCTCGCTGTCGGCAGTGAGCTGCGCCGGCGGTGCCACCGCAGCTCGCTGCCGTCGGCGAAACGCCCGACAGGGAGCTCCTACCGCAGCTCGCTGTCGGCAGTGAGCTGCGGTGGTCTGGCAGACCTCTCCTACCGCAGCTCGCTGTCGGCAGGGAGCTGTGGTGTTGCGGCAGACCTCTCCTCCCGCAGCTCGCTGTCGGCAGTGAGCCGCGGCGGCGGTGCCCACCCCTAAACTACCGCAGCTCGCCGCTGGCAGCGAACCACCACTTATACCTTCATCGTTACCGCAGCTCGCTGTCAGCCTGGCCCATCCTAGAATGCAGCATCGATGACCCCACCAGCCCATCCAGAAACGATGCGTAAGAAACAGGTTCTCGGAGGTTGTTGTCTCTTAGAGCCATCTTGGGGCTATCTTGGGGCCCTCTTCTTGCTTGGGGCCATCTAAGGGCCCTTCTTCTCTTGGGGTTCCTCTGGGGCAATACTGGGGCCTTCGTTTGGCCCTTTAGGCGGGTCTGGTCTCATCATGGGGGCGTCTGGGGCCCCACGATTCAACGTGCCTCCTGCTCCTCCTGCTCCTCCTCCTGCTCCTGTTCCCGGTCCTCCTCCCTCTCTCTCTCCTCCTCTTGCCTCCTCCTCTTTGGGCCCCATTTTGGGTTCTAGGTCGTCTTCTCGGGGCCATCTTCTTGAGGCCTGCGAAGCCTTCATCATCATTGGCAATGTTTGGGAGCCAGCGCCCCTGTTTCTCGAGGGCAATGTCGCAACGCTAACAGCATGGGCCACATCGGCGACGCTGTCGTGGCGGCTCTTTGTTTCTGCCATCGGTAGCTGCGTCGGCTGCGCGACGGCGAACTCAGGATTCATCAGTAGTTGCTTCGGCTCGAACCAATAATATATAGTACGTGTCTTCCCGTGCGCGTCTTCTCGTCTTCGCCTGCTGCCCATCCCCAGAGTCGCCGTCATGGGGGAGGAGACAGCACAGGCTGGCACGACGACGAATCGCCAGCAGCCGAGGCAGCCGCGGCGCCCGAAAGTCCTGAAGCTGGGATCTGATTTCTCAGGCTTGGAGACGGCGTCCGTGGCCATGGGGCGCATGGGTATCAATCATTCTCTCGAGTTCGTCAGCGAGTCGGATTCGGCGTGCATGTCGATCATCAAAAAGAAGTACCAGCCGGCGCACACGTTCTCTGACATATTGGAGCGTACGGAGGAGGAAGGGACATACGTCGACGTGCATGCGTGGACCCCGCCTTGCCAAGACTTCGCTTCGGGCGGCAAACAGAAGGGAGTCAAGGGCTCGCGCAAGACAGGGGATCTGATCAAAAAGTCCATACAGTACATCAAGAGGAATAAGCCCCGCGTGACCATCTTCGAGAACGCCCCGACCTTCACAAACAAGCAGTTTATCTACATCCTGAAGGGCATTGAACAAGCGCAGAAGACGCTTGGATACGTCGTACACGTGAATAAGCTGAACAGCAAGGACTTCGGAGTTCCCCAGACGAGGGAGCGCGTCTTCGTTGTCGGCGTGCGGCAAGACAGCGCGATGCATCCGTTCACGTGGCCACAGAAGCAGGCGACGCCTCCAGTGACTTCCATCCCGGGGCCCAAGCGCGCCACCACCGACGTGGCAGGTCGGCTCCCCAGCAGCGAGCGCAGCCGGGGCATGTGCAAGGACGCTTACAAGAAAGCATACGAGAAGAAGGTGGACCCGCGCCTGACCCCATTGTTGGTCGACATCGACTGTTCCAAGAAGTTCGCCACGCACGGGGTCAACATCGCCAGGGCGCTCACCAAAACCCGCGGCCAGGACGGGGGTCCGTGGGTCTCCAGCCGCGGGCGGCGGGCGACGCTGCATGAGATGATGCGACTTCGAGGTTTCGCCAAGGGGGGCATTCCACAGGCTGAGCTCGACTTGTCCGACCGCCAGATCGGCGGCATGATTGGCAACGCGGTCAGTGTGCATACCATGGGCGCCATTTTGTCTGAGGCGCTCTACAGCGCTGGGCTCACGAAGACGCGGGTTCCATTCCCCTTGCACTATTAGTGGTGAGCGCAACTTGATTGCACTACGAACATATTTTTTATATCGGCCCAGGGTGTTCCGGCCCGTCGGCTGCAGTTCTGCCAGTCTTAAGTTTGCGAGCGGAGTTCCATGCGCCCAACCAAGGAAAAATCTGCAACACGATAATAGGCTTCCCGTTAACAGCAGGCCGCATCATGTCCTTGATGCGGTTCGTTGATGCGTAGACTCGCCACGCATGGCATATCTTCGTTGATGGACCGGCTCGCCGTCCATGACATTTATCTGATTATTGTTGCGCTCCTGAGCCCGTCTATCGTAAACATTTTTGCTCAAGTTCCATGTGCCCGCCTGGTCGACTAGTATTGCTACCGCCCGCCACCCCGATGCAGCTATGGTGGAGAAGAAGCAAAGCAGCAAGTCATCCGACAGATTCGCCGCGGCGACTCTCTGGAAAAGACTCTACCCTAGGTGGTCTAAGCGATTCCTGGTGGATCCGAGCCGCCCTCTGTTGGGTTCATGGTTGAGTAGCAAGTGGAAGGGCGGGCAAGGAGTTGGTTGCGCATGCTGCCATTGGGCAGGCGTTAACAGCCCGTTCAGCAATTTTCAAGTAATGTCTGTCGCTGCGCTCCAGGCTGTCAACTTCGACAAACACAGTCGGAACCCTAATCGCAAAGCAGCTGCCGCGGCTTATGCGCGGATGAGGGATCGGCATGAGTTGGCTGCATCGGCCTCTTCTGCTGAGCCAGGCGAGCTTCAATGCCCCAGCGAGTCTGATTTCCTGGACGTCGCCAAGCTCGTAACCAAGGGGTGCGGCCTACTGACAACAAAGAACCGTAGAATGTTGTGGTGAATCCAAAGTGCCCTGAAGCAGCGCGACATCAACATCATCAAACCAAGTGCAGCAATCTCTTTATTTCGTGACGAGCGGAAGGGGCGGCTACTCATCCGATTTAGATGCGTCGGGGACGACCTGTCAGAGTTTTCTGGGACATTGGGGCAGGCTCGTGGCTTTGGGACAGGGGCCGCGGCAATCACCAACGCAACAGAGCAAATTATGGTCAGAGCGTGCACTGAGCTGCGCGGCCCCCCGCCGGGAGCGAATTGCACCCCCGCTCTCAGGCGGGGGGTTCTGGAACATCTGAAAGCACGGGTGTTGTGTCTCACGGTTGATTCTGCAAGCGATGAGCTTCTCAGCGCTGAGATGATGCGATCGACTGCTTTGAGCGCCGCTGCCCAAGTCTTGACCCCAGGGCTCCGCTTCGTCATCAGAGACAAAGCGCATTCAGCCAGGAGGGTCGTGAGCAGGCCGTGGGCCGCTGACCCTTACATCAAGGAGACAGCCATGATCTTCGCTTGCGGCCGAGGCTCCATAGCACGCATGATTCAGAACAGCCCGCACATCCGACAAGTGTTCGTGAACTACACGAAGATGTGCCAGAACAAGGCCATAAACGCCAGCGTTTCGAACCTACAGGCAGCCGCCCACCGATTTGAATCATTTCAAAAACCTCTTGGTCGCACCTGCATCTTTCTGCGCGCTTGCATCCGGACGGCATTGCACATTTCTCGTCGACAGAACGACGATATGGCAAAGATGGCAAAAGCGTGGCTCAAGTCTGTCAACACAGAGCGGTGCTTGATGTTGGCGATGATGGCCGACGCAAGTGACCAGGCAATGCAACTCACTCGGATTTTAGATGACGAGTCGGCCGATCCAGCCATTCTCAATCGCGAGGTGTTGGCGTTCAATTTGTCTATCACTGGCTTATTTGGCAGTTCGCGCGGATGTTTGTCTGTGTTTGGCTACACGACCATGATGCTGAAGCTGCTGAAGATTCCGATTGTGGCAAGTTGATGGGGCGAGTTATCATATCGGGGACGAGGCCGGTGCCCCGGCGGATATCATAGACAAGTGCATCGCCAGGATGCGCTCCTACATCGTTCTTTCGCGAGCGGCTCTGAAGGCCGAGTTCCCAACTTTCGAATTGGCCCAGGACAACTGGGCGATCAACGCTTCGTGAAAGTTCACCCGCCCCTCCCCACTTGTCGCTGTTCGTCGATTTGAACATTGAAACAGGGCGCCCCCATCGTCGCCCACCCTTCCCCACGCTCGACGAGCGTGGGGAGGGGGAAGTAAGTTTTTGTATCCCCCCAGGCTTGGCGCGCGTTCGATTTGACGTGCCCTCCCAACAAGCCTGAGGAGGATTTGCAAAGGATTGCACAGTCACTTGATTCGCAGACTTTGTCGTTATCACCGCCGCCCCTCGCACGAACGGCCCTGCCCCTGGCGCGCGTGCCCATCTGGGATCGGAATCAATGGGTCAACGGTTCCATCTGCTTCTCGCCGCGGGCCCCGTCCAGGGGGGGGGTGGATCTTGATCCCCTAAGGCTTATTGCTCAATGGCGCGACCACTACCCTCGCGCGCGCCAGTTGTTCAGCCCGTCATCATCTAACAACAAGGATGCGTGGCGCTCTGCGTTGAGCAGAACAGGCGCTCGCCACCTCACGGCCAGCCACCCGTCCGACGTGCTGGGCCGTGCTCTTGTCGCCTTCATCGCCTATGGCTTGAGCTCGTCTGGAGTGGAACAGAAATTCAGTCAAGCTGCGCTGAAGTTCACTGACCGCATGGGCAAAGCCACGGCGGATCACGAGGAAGGGTTCCTCAAGGTGGCTATGGATTTCCCTGAATCCGACCAGCCAGAGATCATCGGGATGGCACAGCGAGTGTGGCGCACGTCGTTCGGCCCGCCCAGGGCGTCGCCCCTGCTCCCTCGGATCGACAAGGGCGTGAAGCGCAGCGCGGGCCCCGCTGATTTCACGGAGGCGGGCTTCATCGCGAAGCGGCGGAGGGCCGCCCGGAGCGCAGCCGCGTCTGTGCTGGGCGCCGAGAGGGCGCTGGCAATCCAGAACGATCTAGTCGGCTTCCGAGCAGGCGCTGCGTGGGGGGAGACCCACGAGAAGGAGCTGTCATTTCTCAACAACAAGTTGCGGGACAAGTCCTTGGCAGCAATTCACGAGAACGGCCTCCTCCAACATGAATCCAGCCCGGCTCTTCGCGCTGATGCAGCTCAGAAGGCAGCGAAGCAGATCGCTGACCTGAAGGCGCGCCAGCGCAGGCAGGCACGCGATGCGGAGTTCTTACGCGGCGCCAGTCGAGCAGAGATGATGGCAGCGATCAGGGGCAAAACTGTCTATGTGCACGACAGTTGCCGAGGGAGGGCAGGTCTGGAGCGTGCGCTCAGGGAGGCATGCCTGAGGATCAAACGATCTTTCGAGGCTGATGTGTTTGTTGTTCCCAAGCCAGGAGCAGCTCAACCGTTCATCGCATTTGCGTCTGCAGTGAGGGGCGGTTTCCAGGTGTCGCCTGGATTCCTGATTTCGGGACGCGGCCCAGCTTTGAAGTACATGCAAGTGTGCCACCTAAAGAAGACAATGTACATGTCGCCGGGCAGCAATACCAAGTATTGCGCGTTCCTGGAACTACTATTCTCCAGGATTCCGCAGTGCAAGTGGAAAATTGATGGGGTTAGTAGCTGGGCCACCTTGAAGGCAGCGTTCACAGGCGCTAAGAAGAGCGCTCTTTTGGCGTTAGTGTTGCCTGATGAGTTGCGCCAAGATGCGTACAGGGACTTTAAGAATTCATTTGCATTCGGGGGTTTGGTCCAGAAGCTTGCGTCCGTGGACACTGCGCGCTCTTGCTCGGGCATGCAGTGATAGGTCAGCTGCTTCGGCTGGGCTGCAGTGATAGATCAGCTGCTTCGGCTGGGCTGGAAAAATCATTATCCTCCCTCATCATCGCACTCCTCTTCGTCTCACCCCTTCCCCTCGTCATCCTGGCCCCTCCCTCCGCCCAGCGATCCTGCCTGATCGATCTCTTTTTGCTGCTCTTCGCCGCTGCCGCTGCCGCAAAACTGCTACCTCTCTGATTTTTTTTCTGTCGCTGCGCGAACCCCTGCCGCGCATCCATTCCTCGTTGTTGGCCGAGGCAGCCAGTTATTAATCACCGCGAGGCCGGATGCGCCGGCCGAGTCAGCCTTCGGGCAAGTCAACAGCTGAAGTGGGCCCATGGGGTGGAGGAGGAGGAGGCGCGCCTCCAGTGTCCCGATCCCCGCTCCTCATCGCTCCTCGCTTCTCGCTCCTCGTCGCTCCTCCCCATCCTCGCTCCTCTTCTTCTTCCTTCTCCTCCTCCTTCTCATCCTCCTTCTCCTCATATCTGCTCCTCGTCCTCCCCTCCCCCACGTTCTCATCATCGTTTTTTCTCGCTCCTCGCTCCTCTTCCTCGGTCGGTCGTCCTCGCTGACCTTCGCGCTCATCATCCTGCTGGCGATGCTGCTACTGCTGCTGTTCCTCTTCCTCCTCTGCTGCTCCTCCTTCCCTGGGCCCCCCCCCCCCCCCCCCCCCCCCCCCCCCCCCCCCCCCCCCCCCCCCCCCCCCCCCCCCCCCGCAAGTTTAATGGGTGCCACTTCTTCTTTTCCCCCGTGCCCTGGTCTTCCCCGCCCAGAGGCTGGGCGCTGCCCGTGGAGGAGGGGGCATGCCACAGCTGCCAAGTAAGAAGACCATTCTAATTGAAAACATTACAGTGCTCTGCGCCAACGTGTTATACCCGTTGCATATACCCGTCATTGGCGCACTGCCGCACCGCAATTGAGTGACGACGCGCGGCCACGAGGAACAAGAAGAGCGGATGGCACATGGAAGGACTAGCACAACAAAGCATATTGATATACAGAGATGGGAAGAAATAGAGATGGAGAGAGAGAGAGAGAGAGAGAGAGAGAGAGAGAGAGAGAGAGAGAGAAACAACAAAAGAGAGAGAGAGAGAGAGAGAGAGAGAAGAGAAAGAGAGATAAATAGAGGAAAGCACGGCGGCCACACGGGCCGGAGCAGCCCCTTACTGGCTGCCGCTTCCGGGGGAGGGGCTCCGCCTCTGCCCGAACTCCTTCTGCCAGCACGTCATGCACATGAAAGTGTCGTGTGCGAACCGTGAGAGGTACTCCGTGTTGCGATGGTACACCATGCCCTCCTTGCCATTATTAGTGACATCCTTCCTGCCGCAGCCCTCGCAACGATGCTTCTTGACTGCCGACGCGCTGCTCCACAGTTTCTCCGCCTCCACTTCGTTGCAGGCTGCCCGAAAGTTGAGGATGCGCAACACCTTCACTTCGCAGTTCAAGGGCTCCGCCTCGGGAGCGATGTTCACACGACGACGAGGCTGAGGAGGGTCCGCCGCCGCCGCGCGAGGCCGCTTCCGAAGCGCAGAGCGCTGAGGAGCAGCGCTCCGATGGTTCGGCGGGGAGTGGACCCAGGCGGCCATCGACCACGGCTGAGGAGAAGACTTCTCAGGCGTGGCCGCCTCCTGCGTGGCCGGCTCCGGCGGTTGCTGCTGCTGCGGCCGCGCCGGCGTGGTGAGCGGCTCCGCCGATGGTCCGCCGTCGCCGCCCTGAGGGCGGCTGGGTGGTGAGGCTGCTGGTTCCGCCGCAGCGCCGCCACCGCTGCGACGACGACTGGGTGAGGCTGCTGGTGGCGGATTCGGCTTGCGGGGCGCCTCCTGGTCCTCCTTCTTCTTCCTCAAGAACTCCTTCCGCTGCTCGACGACGTAGAGCTGGAACCAGTTGATCGACGGCACGCTCACGTGGTCCTTCACTGAGGCCTTGATCTTCGCCTTATGCTCGTCGCTGAAGACGTACAGGACCGCTGTCTTGGCGAGCATGCCGTCGTCGACCAGGCGATCAACTATCTGCCTGACCAGCTTCGGGCACCGACTGCAAGCTCTCTTGTCGCGCCCGTTCGAACGCATGAACTCGGAGAAGCCGTCGAAGACTTTGTCCAGGATGGATGGCGTGGGATCCGCCATGAGCAGCCTGGCCGAGGCAGCCAAGGCCGATGGAAAGGAATGGAGGTGTGGCCGGTGCAGCCAGTACAGAGGCCGATGCAGCCGCGCGGCGGCTGCAAAAATAACGCGCGGCGTGCGCGCGGGAAGCCAGAACGGCTGTGGGGGATGGATGGGGGAGTGGCGGCGAAAGGACGCGGAGGATCTGGGAAATCAACGAGGCAAATGATGTGGAGGGTAGACCGCCCCAAGGATGCATAAAGAAGAAGGCCTCAGGGCTGCCCGAGAGTGCTTCCAGACGGCCTAGAGGCGCCCAAAAACAAGACGGCCCAAAAAGAGGGCCCCAAGACGGCTCCGAGAAGACGGGCCCACAGGGGGGAACACGAAAAGTCTTCAAGAAGCCACCGAGAGGCCCTCAAGGACCCCCCCCCCAAAAAAAAAAAAAAAAAACAAGCCCCAACTCCCCAAGACGCCCGCCAGGGGGGAAAAGCAACAAGGGGTTTTAACATCAGCAGAAGGCCTCTTCTTCTTGGCCCCTCTGGATTACGACGGTAATATGTTCAACGCGCAACCGCATGCGCGTTTTTATGGATGCATGTGCATACACAACTAGTTATATGTAGTACTACTCATGGCCGTATATATCATAGCAACCAACGAGCGATTGATTTAATTATTCAAACTGATTGATTATTTTTCACCATGCCCCACGAGTGGGCGCTGATGGCTATCGCTATCGCTTGATATTTCCTCACAACTACTACCCCCAACAAGCCCCGAACGAGAGGTCTCCCACGAACGATGCACCAACGATGACGATCATCACAATCACCCGTTCATTTTTTTGAGTTTTTCCTCCAGGCCAACCTAGCGACTTTTTCATTTTGAACACGACAGAACTCCCCACGCGCGCGCGCCGCGTCGCGCGCGCGGGCGCCTCGGCGCACGCGCGCTCGACGCGCGCGCGCTCAGTCTGAACGTATTCAGCATTTTGCATAATTCCGCGTTCATTCCCCAAAACTTATAAGGGCAAACGTAATGTGTGTTTGATTTTAGTGTCATGGCAGCATTATTATTATTTTCCCTCCTCGTCGACCCCCATCTCAAAGTCGCGGGCGCCCATGCCACGGGGACAAAGATTAACTTTGGGCGCGAAACACCGCGTGGAATTTAAAATTCCACTGAG